CGAGAAAAACTTTTCCCCCGTCCTATTGACTTTATAATTTTTGACAAGGTTGAATATCATTTTCTCACCAAATTTTTAATGTATTTTTCACCCCCAGTTTGGTTTATATTAATTTTAGGGTTAATAAATTATAAAAAAAAAAATTAAAATAAGGTCATTTATTAAAATAAAAAATTATAAAGAATTGAAAAAAATAGCTGGCCATTAATGCTGATTGATGTAGAAAACTTGATTAATTAATGGGGGTTGAATTAGAATCAAGAAGAAATGTAAAGAATATTAATATTTATTTTACTTTTAAGGTTAAAAAATTGGTTGATTTAATTGTTATCCCATTTAATGTATGTTTATAAAAGCTAATTCACAAATAAGGGGGTGTATTTGATAGTATGATACAAAGAAGTGCCCCACAAATTTGCTCGTTTATAGTCTTCATTTTTTTGTGTAATCTCCACCGTCTATTTCAAATCGTATAAAGATCATGGGGTCTCTTGGTATAACAATTATCCCTTAGGTTGGGCAAAAATTTGGCTCCAACGAATTGTGAAAGTGACACTACGATCCCTATCAACAGAGGCGATCCAGCCCATTTTTGCCCACGTTCAATTTTATTTAAAAAATACTAATATATATAATTTTTAGATTTTGCCCACCATGACAAAAATATTATGAACAAAAATACTAATGTGTAATTAGTTTTTTATTGGTCTACTCTAACAAAATTTATATATCCGCTACTGCCTATCAATTTTTGTTAGTTATTATGATGATAATGCTATGACATACAGAGCATTCATGAATCTGTGTTTCACAAATTTTAATTTGTAATTTTTTTTTTTCTTACTCTTTTATTAGTGATGTTTATGGAATATTATTTTTTATTCGTTTTAGGCCAAAAATAATAGGCTAGTCTACAAAAATATAAAAGCCTAAGACAAAAAGATAAGTTCCAAGGAAGAAGAAGTCCAAAGCCACTTCTTAAAGGGAAGTTACACAATTTGCAAAAGGTGATTAACCTCATATTTAGAAGGTGATTTTAATCCATTATAAAGATCATCAAATTAATTAACTTGACCAAGACTTCATATTATTGTCCACTATTATCTCATAAACCTGATTTTTTTTTTTTTAATGCTATTCAAATTTTCTTCGAACAAAGTATTATTTTAAAGAGGAAAAAGAATCGTAATTACAAGAAATACAAAACTAAAGTTTTTAATTGCTTCACTATAAAATTTTGGTTAATTTTCTTCAAAGTATTGGTAGATATTTTTAATCTATACATATTTTATGTTGTTTAAATGTATTATGCTTTTGGGATTTTTTTTACCTTGAATTTTTTTTAAATTTATTTAATTATTTAAACATTTTATTTTAGAATGATGACGATGGAGTATATAGTAAATGAAGGGAATGAAATATTACCTTTTCAAAATATAAAAACATAGAATTTTAGGCATTTATGAAATTTATGGGTAACATAAAAAAAAAAAAAAATTTAAACTTGGAGTGAGACATTTTAAAAAAATACAACTTTTTTAGTTCATCAATGGAGTGTTACTTCGCTTCATTCAAAAAAAAAAAAAAAAGCCAACCTAACCGGAAACAAGGCCCACACAACGTGAGCCTATAAACACAAGATATCCCAGATAGGCCCCAACAAAACCAAGCCCAAACCCCTCACCTAAATAATACTCATCCATGCGGGCCTCTAAAAAAAACTATTACCTGGGATTGAATTTGATTTTAATCCCGTTAAGAAGCCCTGCTTGAAGATGACTATTGCTTGCAGGGTCATGAATGCTTTTTACAGTGCCACCCCTGAGGTTTGGCACTAACATTTTCCCCCTGATTTTGAAAACTATGTGTCACTTCAAATAGTGTTTCTTCTGTTGAATAACCAACTATTCAAGTTCTATCAGCCATCTTATTGCAGCTAATGTTTGTTCCTAATCTCCTTACTAACCATGGCCAATCGTCATTTCGAAGCTATACCTACCTCTCAGGGATCTCTTTATGAGCTTATGCTTGAGTTAAGAGTCTTTTCAAGGACGTTTCACAATATAAATTTATATTTTAATAATTTAAAGTACACTAATAATAACATAATACCAATCCGTCTCATGTTTCTCATCTTTTATATTCTCTTGTTTCAACTCTCTCGTTTTTTGGATTCTCTCTGTTCAGAGGTTCAAGTTTTCAATTCTTGCTCTAAACCTCTCGTTGGAGGTTCAATTTTCAATAACCACGAATTGAGTACCCACATCCAACCTGAAATTGACCACGTCTGAAACTTCTTTTAGCAAGATAACTTTGAACAAGTTTAAAGGGTGCACGACTTCATCTAATCCCATGTAGGTACAAAACATTATGGACCATATTACTCTTAGACTATATAAAACTATAAACATTTGGACTCTAACAATTGCTTATCTGGCAGCTGAATATACTATATTGACATCAGTGAACTTTCTTAAGCTTTTGACTTCACTAACAAAAGATCGTTTCGTAAGACAACTTTAGAGGGACAAGTTTAGGAATCCATTCATTGCAGTTTTGATGGCCCATCAATCCAATAAATTCTACTATATATTTAATTCAACGTCTTAACTAACTTTATTATTAGACAACATAAATACACTTAATTTAGAAGCAATTAACAACATTGTTATAGCATCTAAATTTATTTCTCTTATTGATTTCCTAGTTATACTTGAAGAATTTGAAAACTATATTTTTATGAATAACTAGGTCAATAGCCAAAAACACAATATCGTACCGGAAGCATTTGAATAGTAGATCATGATTAAGAATAATAATGGAAAACTTATCGGTTGACCTAATGGGTTAAACTGTGAATACTCAAAACTTGGTAAATTTATTTAACTCCTTTAGTTTGATAATGATATTTAGACCCCAAAAAAAACATTTGGAGAGCTTTCATATGCAAATGACATTTTCTAACCAAGATTCGTGCTTTACAGCTTTCTTGAAATCTTCCAAATTCTTTGTCCAAACTTTGTCTTTTCCTTGCTATCTAAACCCACACTTAGCAAGAGTCATTAACTAATATGTTTAGACATGGTTTTTTTATCATCAAAATAGACTGATGACTCCTTGATCAACAAAGGGGTTTTTGATTTTTCCTAAACTTCTTGGAGTCAATTAATTTATTAATGTTGTTTAAAACTAGTTGATCCACTTACTTTCTAAGAGCCCTTTAAGTGAGAAAATCGCCAAAAAGAGAGATCTTTCCATCTGGGTTAGAGGTTGTGGAGGATGGTGAAGTCAACTGAATAGTAAAGACTCAATCGAAAGTCGGTAAGAGATGCCGACAGCGACGACTTTGAGAAGAAAGATGGAAATGAAGAGTTGAGAGATGTCATCTTATTAGTGTATTTTTTATATGTAACACCCGAAAGTTGAACTCTAACTGTTTTAGAATTAGAGAAACTTCAAAAAGGAAACAAAAAAAAATTTTAGGAATTAAGGTTAATTTTTTTTCATGGGTACTCGTCGGTATACCTTGCCCACCCGCAAAAAATCAGGCTGGGCCAAGTACGAGTAAAAAAAAAAAAAGGTTCGAAAAGTTGGACTCGTACCCTACATTTTTTAATGTTACAGGCTTATTTGCCAGGTCTGCATTGGTCCCTTACAATTTTTCAAGAAAGGTGTTCATTGATTGTTTTCTAAACTACCAGGATTTAATGTTAATTAATGATATTACCATAGTCCAAAAAATCATATAACCGTTGTTCAAAACCCAACCGGTCCACTCACTTTCCAACTTTTCTCTTCAAATACCAAACTTCAATTTTTCAAATTTTCAAGTACGGGGTTTATTGAAGTTTTCCTAAAACAAATGCATTTAAAATCGAACTAGTCCGCTCATTTTACAATTTTTCGCTTCATCTCAGCACTAAATATCTAGAGCATCTCCAACCCACGCCAAATTGGCGCAAAAACACAATTTGGCGTGGGTTGGTACTCCAACCAGCGTCAAACACTGCGCCAAAATGCGCAGCACTGTAGCACAATAAAAAATATTTTTTTTTATTTTGTTTTTTTTTATTTTGTTAAGTTAATTTGAGTATTAAATTTTACACCAAAAATCATACCAATTTGAGTATTTATATTTAATTTAATTTGATTATATTTTATAATAATGATATATAAAAAATGATGACAAATTAAAAATAAAACTTTATCCATGCAAATATTAAACTACAATAACTAAAAATAAAAATTAACTAATTTAAAAACACTAAAATTAAAAGAAAATACAACATAAACTAAATAACAATTTAGTATTCCGTAGATTAGTTTCGGATCCAGTAGATCATCAAAATATTGAAAAAAACTTAGTTATTTTGAGATCCTTGGCCTTGTGTTGAGCTCTTTTTTGCATATTCTTAATTGCTCATTTTGAAAAAACTCACGTAGGCTTGGATCGGTTATAGAATTCAAATCCTTAAATAAATTTTGTTATCTTCTCGATATTCTCCCAAAGCCATTTTTTATATTAGATGTATGTTTTTTTATATTAAATGTAATGTTTATTTGATTAAATAAATGCTTAATTCTATTAAATTAGTATAATTTTTTAAAATAATTATTATTTAATAAAAATATCATTCCTAATATTTAATTAATATATCACAAATAATGAGTGAAATAGTTTAATTGTTGATTATTACAATAAAGGAAAAAAAAATATTTTAAAGAATTTCTAGAAATATTCTTTTTTGGTGCATATTTGGTGTGTGGTGGAATGGAATAGTGTTTTGCACCCAATTTTGCACCAAATTGGTGCAATGGGTTGGAGATGGTCTGAAACTCTCTTTTCTGATCTGATCGGAGTTGAAAATATTTATTTCGTTATTACAAATTTCAATCATCAAAATAATTTTTTACACAATTATGTACGAATCTGCTATTTAGTAACTCAATTAACGAATACCTATTATTATCCTTTTTTCATTAATTTGAAGTTCTTGGAATTTTTTTTTTTTTTTTAATTTGTGCAAGTGAAGCTGTTGTGCGTGTTTGAAGATGGCGGATGTTGCGGCAAACCAAGTGGTTTTTTATTTGTGAAATGTTAATTGCTTTGGCCTTTTGAGAATTTGGATAGTTTACTTTTGCTGGGATTTTAATATGAATTTTATTGTATGCGGTGGTTCTTTTGGTATGCAAATGATGCCCAGAAAAATTGTGTTTGATCTAGCGCATTGTGGGGGACTTGACTTTTGAGGAGTTGCAGTGGGTAAGTTAAGAATTGTGGAAGCTTTTTGTATAATTTGTGTAGAATTTTGTTCGTTGATTTGTTTAAGATGAGATCTGTGTTTTAGAGAATTTGACTATTCTCAAGTTTTCTTGATGTTTGAGTAACGATCAGTTAGTAAAGTGACTAAAAATAGAGAAATAAGTGGGAGTGACTGTAAGTTCTCTGGTGAGTTGATTGAGGTGCTGAAATCTAGGGAAATAGCTGGAACTTGAAAGGGTCACCTTTGAAAGCCTTTGCCGTGACCAAAGTGTCATCTCTTTCAATCATGTGATGCGGACGAATTTAATTGTAACCTGGAAAAGAACATTGTCAGTATCCCCCCCCCCCCCAAAAAAAAAAAAAAAAAAAAAAAAAAAAAACAGACGAGAGAGAACATTATTTTTGACATGCAACTGATACCGACTTTTTGCCTTTGATAATGAATGGTACTAATTGGATTGTTATTTGCATTTATTAAAAAATCCAAGGGTTGGGCATAGTGGTAAAATCCCTTATTTGTAACTGAACAGGTCAAGGATTTAAATCCCCTGGGGCCACCTACTTGATATTATCAGTCCATTTGCAGTCATTGATGACACTTCAACTTATATACCAAATTGTTATCATGCTATGGGTTAATGCTTATGATTCGCATAATACCCGCACCAGTTGTGATGTTACAAGCTCTTGTGATTGCAGTGTTCACGTGTTAAGAGTCTCTTAAAAAGTCCTATGTTCATTGTTAAAGTTCCTCAGCATATTTTTGCAGTGTCTTATTTCAAATTTGCACTTTAAGAGAGTGCTAGTAGAATTGTCTTTGCAATTACAATCTGAACTTGCCTCTGATGTTCTTTTTATTTTTCATTTTCTGGTGCAGCTCATCATGTCCGGCGGCGGATCCCGTGCTTGGATTCATATCTAGACAAGGTCTGTTATCTTTTGTACCTTGCAGGCAAAAGTATCCCAACATAACTAATTTTTTCACTGAATCTGAGCAGGTCAATATTTCCTTGTGGCCTTTTTTAAGATGTTTTTGACTTGTTCTGGTAGTTTGTGTAATGCAAATGTGAGGACATTGTGGGAAGATGATATTCATCATCATTATGTAATGGAGGCGTTATGCTGAATTTACAGCTTCTCTGTTGTCACCTCAATTTTGAATATGGAGATGCCAGTGAGATGCTTTTGAGAAACTGAACTCATAAACTGTTATTTTGTTTGATTGTTTCAATAAGAGTACTAAATATGCAGCCTTCTGTATCTGCAGCTTGAATTGAATATGGAACGATTGAGAATGGCTGTAGATGAATTCTTATGAAGCTTGCGAAAATGTTTCCAAGACCAAAATTACAGATTGTGTTTCTGATAAATACTACAGACATGACAATGCTGTACTAAGGGTGGATCTGATTCTTCTGTTGGCTATTACAAAATTTTCATATGCCGAAGTGGAGGTCCTGCAGGGTACTTTTGAGAATTTTCTTTGCTTAGGCTGTTGTACCTTTTATAAGGTAGCATTTGCTCCCGTTGTGCAGATATTTATTATTATGCCTTGTGTGGCTCTTTGTTTCCAATTAATTGTCATTTGGATGCCAGGAAGCTAGCCCTGAAGGTGGAAAATTCAAATCACTTCGAGGAACTGTTGAAGAGCAACACAGCATTATTGGTGGTAAGCAATGGCAAATTAAGTTCATAGTTTGGTTTGCCACTCTTCGTTAGGAGAAGAGTGGCCACTCTCTCTCACTCACTGTTCTTCAGGTGGGTTTCAATCTCTTTCTCTCTGTCTCCCTCTCTGTGTGTCCATCGCTGTATCTAATGTTCTATGTATTGTATATTAAATTGAGTTGTTTACTGGAAAGCAGCAACCAACTTTCTGCAAAACCAAAACACAGGAAGAAGAAGAAGAAGAAGAAGAAAAGCTAAAAAATCATGGACAAAATGAAATAGAAGAATTCAATCTACTGCCAAGAAGCAGCGAATCGCATCCCACACTCATTAAAGGCTTGGTCTTGAGGTCCTTTTTCCTTCTCTTTCTCTGCCTCTTAATATGAGGAAAAATTGTTCTAATTTCCTGCTGCTTTCAACTGTAATCTGCTCTCTTTGCCGTTAAAGCTTCAAACTTTTTTTTTCTCTTAGTTTAGGGTTTATGCTGTGTACAGAATTTTTATTTTTCGGTTTATTTCTAGGTATCCATCTTTTGGTGTTTGACTTCACACTGGCTTTTGGGTTGTGTTTGTTATATCTGTCTTTTTGTTAGCAAAATTACATTCAGGAAATTGGCTTGTGTTTATTATATTTTTATTCATGTTTTCTAAAGTTTCTAGAATTTGGGTAAAGCATAAGGTTTTAGTATAATTTGAAGTGTTAAACATAAGAATGTTGACAGGTTTGTAATGCTAATTACTTTGGGTTGACATATATCAATTTTAAAATGGTCACCTTTGGCTTATCTCTTTATTTGATAGTAAATGGTTTACTAGACTGATCTACATTGGACTAATGATAGGCCTCCTATACATAAGGTCTACAAGCTTAAGGGACGCAAAAGGCATTAAGGGCAGTTAGTTAAAAGAATCTTGTCCATGTGGCTGTGTGTAGAATTGGGTGTAAGAAAATGAGGGGTATTTTGTGAGATACTTAGTATATATTGTTAAGATTAGGCTGAAAGAAGGTTAAGCATTCTTTTAGAGATAACCAATGGAGGTCCCTACCTCCTCGAAATGCTAGGATCTATCTGGCTACTATTTTGTTCCATTTCTGATCTGTTAATTTCCAGTTTTCTTGATTAATACAAATATTGAGGTTTATCAAAGAATTGTTGTCTCTATTCATCTGTTCTTGTGTGTGGTTTGGATATTGGACTGATTTGCAGGTGATCGTATCAACTAATTGATAAATGTTTGTGAATTTTTCTGATGCAATTAATTTTTTTATTTTCTATTTGGTAGCCAAATGGAACCGCAATATCTTTGGCTGCTGGCTTCGTGTGTCAGGTGGATGCAAGAGAAGCTGCTGGTCTTGTTGTTGATATGATTAGGCAAAAGAAGATGGCTGGTTGTGCACTCTTACTGGCTGTTCCTCCCGGTACTTGGAAGACTGTGCTGGGCCTCGGAATATGTCAAGAGCTTGGGAGCAAGGTGCTCTTGCTATTTTCACATCTGTTAATATCTTTTTTGCATTTTGATGTTACTAATCGGAATCTTTTGTTCTTGTTCCTGTTTCTTCTAGTAGATGATAGCTTTTGATATTAACAACATTGATGAGCTTTCATGCATATAAAAAAAAAAAAAAAAAGGTACATTTTACCACTTTTTGGCAGGTTCAATTTTGTTGGTTCAGAAGTAAAGAAAACTGAGGTTTTGATGGAAAANGCTAATTCACAAATAAGGGGGTGTATTTGATAGTATGATACAAAGAAGTGGCCCCACAAATTTGCTCGTTTATAGTCTTCATTTTTTTGTGTAATCTCCACCGTCTATTTCAAATCGTATAAAGATCATGGGGTCTCTTGGTGATAACAAATTTATCCCTTAGGTTGGGCAAAAAAATTTGGCTTCAACGAATTGTGAAAGTGACACTACGATCCCTATCAACAGAGGCGGATCCAGCCCATTTTTTGCCCACGTTCAATTTTATTTAAAAAATACTAATATATATAATTTTTAGATTTTGGCCCACCATGACAAAAATATTAATGAACAAAAATACTATTGTGTAATTAGTTTTTATTTTGGTCTACTCTAACAAAAATTTATATATCCGCTACTGCCTATCAATTTTTGTTAGTTATCTATGATGATTAATGCTATGGACATATCAGAGCATTCATGAATCATGTGTTTACACAAATATTTTAATTTGTAATTTTTTTTATTTTCTTACTCTTTTATTAGTGATGTTTATGGAATATTAATTTTTGTTATTCGTTTTAGGCCAAAAATAATAGGCTCACGTCTAAACAAAAATATAAAAAGCCTAAGACAAAAAGATAAGGTCCAAGGGAGAGAAGAAGTCCAAAGCCACTTCTTAAAGGGAAGTTACAGTCAATTTGCAAAAGGTGATTATAACCTCATATTTAGAAGGTGATTTTAATCCATTATAAAGATCATCAAATTAATTAACTTGACCAAGACTTACATATTATTGTCCACTATTATCTCATAAACCTGATATTTTTTTTTTTTATACTATTCAAATTATTCTTCGAACAAAGTATTAGTTTAATAGAGGAAGAAGAATCGTAATTACAAGAAATACAAAACTAAAGTTTTTAATTGATTCACGTATAAAAATTTTGGTTAATTTTTCTTCAAAGTATTGGTAGATATTTTTAATCTATACATATTTTATGTTGTTTAAATGTATTATGCTTTTGGGATTTTTTTTACCTTGAATTTTTTTTTAAATTTAAATTTAATTATTTAAACATTTTATTTTAAGAATGATGACGATGGAGTATATAGAATAAATGAAGGGAATGAAATATTAACCTTTTCAAAATATAAAAACAATATATTTAAGGACATTTATGAAATTTATGGTACATCAAAAAAAAAAAAAAAAATTTAAACTTTGGAGTGAGACATTTTAATAATACAACTTTTTTAGTTCTCAATGGGTGTTATAGCTTCATTCAACAAAAAAAAAAAAAAAAACCAACCTAACCGAAACAAGGCCCACACGTGACCTATAAACACAGATATCACCAGATAGGCCCCAACAGCCCAACAAGCCCAAACCCCTCAGCCTAAATATAATACTTCATGCGGGCCTCTGAAAAAAAACTTATTACCTGGGATTGAATTTGATTTTAATC